GCATTGGCCAGGCACAAGAAAACTGGAATATGAAATTGGCTGAATATAATTGAAGTCTGCATATGCTGACGGGATATTTAGAGCTTTCAACTTTATCACACAATAGTTCTGTGGGTTATCTCACCAGTTCCTTTATGGAGGGAGGGAGCAAATTACCCCTTTTCTCCAAAGTACTAAGGGTGTAAACACCAAGATGGGAGGTGATTGGTTCTGGTTACTTAGATTGTCCCTACCCCAAAAAATTGACAGTCTCTCTGTTCTGTGTTTGTACTGCACATAGCACAATGGGGTCCTGGTCCATGACTGGGACTCCTGGTTGCTAACACAATATAAATAATAAGGTGGTGCAAGGTAACATAATGAGGGTGAAAAGTGGACAAAGAAAAATGTAGGTAGAACATAAAGTGATTTTTTTTTTTTTCCCCCTGACAGTGAAATATATTAAACTGTGGGTTATTCACCCAAGTGAAGGGGTGGAAGCCCCATCAAGTTAAGATGTTTTAAATTAGTCAAGACAAAGCCCTGGTGAGAATACATTATAGGGAACAGTCCTCACTGGCTAATGGAAGTGGGATGGATGTGCCTTAATAGAGGTTTATTCCATCTCTGTCCATCACTTTATGAGGGGATAAGCCACATAGCTGCTTCTGCTATTGGATGTTTTGCATTTCTGGCTGATGTGCACAGGTGAATGACGGGATATTTTTGTCCTCACAGCCGTTTCTAGAGCGCTGTTTAATTGGTGCTGTCTCTAGCTTCTGTGCTTAAGAACTTGTGAGCTCTTTCTCCTTGAAGATCAGTCTGTGTCACGGAGCATATCTTTTTTCTTTTCATGGGATAGTGATGTTTGTTTGTTTGTTTTTTTCCTCCTCAATACAGGATCGTAAAGAGAAACTTATTCAGGAAGGCAAGTACAAGCGACCATTCGGTCTCAACTCCTAAGTTCCTGGGAATTGGATGTTGCAGTGCTGCTGTTGGGCTATTCATAGAAAGTGCTGTGTATTGTACATTGATGAAAAGACTAATCCTCTATCAAAATAAACTTTATATTATTACAGTCATAGGATCATGACTTACTGTAGAATCTTCTTGTCTAACACTGAAACCAATCAGATTATAGACAGAATGTGTACAAGAGTTTTAAAAAGACATTAATTTGTGCCCTTGGATGCATGTTCAGAGTTTCCATTTAATCCATGAGAGCCACATGCCTGTATCTAAGAGTAGCCTCAGGATGAATTTTAAAATTTATAGCAGGCTAAAGCATCAAGTAAGTCCAAGAAATTATCTGAGTGGCTGTCTTGTTGTGTTTTCAGAATTTGTCTTGGACTCAGTTGAGTTATGTAGCTGTATTCACTCTAATCGAATAATGGGCAACTTCTAATTTCATATTTTGAATAATTCATTAAATGGGCTGAGAAGGTTAGAAAGCTGCCTGGCTTCTTTCTCTCAGAGCAGCCAGCCTCACATTTAAACCAACTCAGATTAATTTTCCATTTTTTCCCAGTGAAACAGAAACCTGTACTCTGGTAAATTTCTCAATGATTTCATGGGATCTCTTCCAGCATCAGGATTGCTGGATCCAACTCAGTATGAGCTCAGAGCTTTCACATTTTGACCAATCACACTTTCTCATTCACAGGAACCCCTGAATTAGTGAGACAGGAAATAAGATGTGGGTTCTATTCCCATTTGCCATTGACTCACTGTATGATCTTGGGCAAGTCATTTCACCTCTGCTCATTTTTACAGAAGGTTAAAGAGGACACATCGTGAGGGTTTTGCGAACAAATATGTGCAAAGTCTTTTTAAAATCTGTGGCTAAAGGTGCTGTTTCAAAAGCAAAGAGCTTAGTTACAGGGCATGCTGAGAAAAATAAGTGGGGCTTTTGTGCCCTTTTGCTTCCCTACATTGTGGACATAAAAGGCCTGAAAATGGTGTGTTTTCTGCTTATTTTTTACATTAGAAATACAGGTCTAGTTGGCCCTGGATGACTTGAAAACTAATAGGACTATGAAATCACAAATACTGAGTGAGTGAAAATTGAGAGGAATTGACTTTTTATAACTTAGTTTTTTTGTTTGGCCTCTAGATGCTATCACCACAGTCTAAACAGCAGAAAACACCTATTTGATTTAAACACCTGAGAGAAGTCTCCCTTCATATAAAGGGTGAAAATTCTCCCAGTCCACTTGAGACCTCCAAGAGGCCCTACAGCGATGTTCTTGATATTACTACGGTAAAACTCAAGCAAGAACACACTTGTGCTGCTACTTCCAGCAACATAAGGAAGAAAGAGAGCAAGTCCCTCGCAGTCTCCTTTGCCAGAAGTGGCTGAACATGCTGACTTCTCTCCCTTTCCTGCTCCTGTTACGTAGCATTCATGCCTCAAAATCCTGCTCTTCTGAGATTTGTATTATTTCCCATTTTGACATAGGTGAAATCTGTGCTCTTCCTCGCTAATTAGCAGGCACTGGAGCTGTTCAGCAGCTATGCAGAGCTGTAGCCTGTCTCTGATCTGCTCCTTAGTTTATTCTCTCTCACCCAGCTCCCTCCTATGTTCTCCAGGTAGGTTAAATCAAGCAAATGCAGATCATTCTCTTTCCAAAACTGTTTCTACAACAGATTCACCCTCTCAAATGACATCACAAAATACAACTGTGGGTCAGTGAAAGGAAAGGCATGAATGCATGAAGAAAGTGGTATTTAGGGAAAGAAATAATTGCCCACAATGCTTGTTTGAGCATGCTAAATGAACCACCACCTGCTGCCACAAACTGATATGATCTCTGAGGACCAGTTTCCTCAGCTAATGGGGCCTTGAGTTACCACACATGTAAATTCTCCCTTGCAGCTGTATTTGTTTGTTTTGTACAAATTGTTCAGTAGGGGTTGCAGAAGAATAGGGAGCATTTCCAATTGGTTTGCGAATACATATGCCTTAGCCTCTCTGCGTAGCTCAGAGGGAATGAGGTTACTCCCCATTAACGAGTTTGGTGCTTGGAGCTAGTCTGGCCTGTTTCTTCTTTCTCATTATTTTCAGAGCTCTCCAGGCTGCCTTTTCAGTTGATTGTGAGGAGCACGCTGTGCTGCCAGAGCTGAGGTGTTGCCTGTCTGTGGTTCAGGTGGAGATATTTCTTAGAAAAGATAATATTTCCAATCAGAAATTTGGGGAGGAGAGTGAGCAAGTGTAAAAACGCTTGTTGCATGCATAATTTGCGCACAACTCCCAGTGTCAGCTATAGAGAGTTTCAAGCAGGCAAATAGTCTATGGCTCTCATGGGTTATCCCCCCAATGAGAAAACAAAAACTTTCCCTTCAGTCCCTAGAGCATTTTGGTTTAGGGTGTATCTATGCTTGAAAGTTAATGTTGATTAAGGGAGGGTGTGAATTTAAAGTACAATAGCAATTCCTGAACAATGCCATGTGTGGACACTCATTTGAGAACAAGAGTGCCTTGTTCCTGGCTTAATTCACTTTCAAAATTAATTCGGAACAAATCCATCTGTAGACAAGCCCTTAGCTTCAACCTGGGCCGGTTCAGTGAATTGAATCCCTCTGGCAGATTGATTGTTGGTAAACGGCCTCTTCTGAGTTTTCTGTTTTAGCACAAGTGCTGCATGGTGGATATTACATAATCATACTCTGCATGTACAAAACATATTCTAGCCAAACATCTTGTACAGGGTCAAGCCCATTGTTGGCAGTGACTAAACACAAAAAACGCTAGGTGTCCTGATGCCAAATCCTGTGCTCTATGCACTAAACCATTTAAATTTCTCTTTCCCTCTTCTGGCAAATAAGTTGTGATATGCTTCTGCCCCTTTTCTCAAAGTAAGGCATGTAAATTATTGCTGACAAGGGGGCTTGTGCAACTGCTTCAATCCCAGATATGTGCCCTGGGCTGTCCTCTTGCTCTAGTGGACTCAACAAATAAGGCCTTGTCTACATAGGAAAATTGTACTGATTTAACTGAATTGGTTTAGAAACAGATTTAGTTAAATGGGTACAACCTCTTGTGGGGGCACTCGTTTGGTCTGAATGTGCTATAGTAATTGGTAAAGAATCAAGCTAAGCTGATATAAGGTCCTCCTCACAAAGCAATGGGGAGTCAAGGTTGTAACAACCATGTTAAAAACCTTATCCAATAAAGGGGTGGGGCTTGAATCTGGGGTGTTCCATATTCTGGGTGAGTACCCTACCCACCAGGCTAAGGGAACTCTTCTTTTTCCCTCCCCCAACCACCTGTTTTGTGTGGAGTTAGACAGCCTCTGAGCATGCCTACTTGATCACACCCTGCATGCAATTTAGGTGGCCAAACACCTATCCCTCCTCCAATTCATGAATTGCTCTGAGGCTTGGGCAAGAGAGACACCTGGATGCCTAGAGAGAGACAGCAGTGCATGGGCCCAGTGGCAGAAACTTATGTGCTTATGGAACTTTGCCTGCAAAAATTCAGGCACTGAGTGAGTTTGGCTGCTGCTGAACCCTGTAGATGCCTAAAGAGTTTTGTGCATCACAGTGGTGCCTAGAACTGAGATTTACGTGCCTAGGTTGCTTTGTGGATCCCATTCTTAGTGTTGACAAACCCAGACAGAAGTTGCAGGGAAATGATAATGTGTTAGTAGGTGCTGACGATTGGGCTGTGTGTCATTGGAAGGGTAACCTTCCCTTGATTGGCAGTAGGTCTGCTGGATTTAAGACCGGACCTGGCTGGCTCCTCTAACTCCTATTTATTCTTACCCTCTCGCTGAAAGATCATTCCTGGAGTATTGTTTAATAAATCGTTGCTCCTGAGCATCCCCGTGTGAAAGACGTGTCAGATTTTCATGAGTGTCCTGAGAGGAAGTCTACCACTATCTCACTTCAGTAGAAGGCACAGATTTCACACCACACCACCTGCTGGGGGAGCCCCGTGGCATGGGCACTGCAGCTCTTACACTTTAATTGGATACTTGAAAGCTCAGAACTGTGGTGCGGTTCAAGGCTAGATACGCAGGTTTGCAAGAGTAATTCATTTAATCAGTTGCTGTTGAAATGGCTGCAGAGCAGTGGCGCTCGCTGTACTGAGGGATATTTGTTCCTTTACCAGCCCTTGCCCCTGTCGGTATCACTGATTGTTTCCCATCAGTGTGACTGGCCTGAGAGCGCACAAGCAGCTCACTTCTGTTTACTTGCAGCTGGGATTAAAATGGCTTTTCAGCGGTTCCCAGCACTTGTAGTAGGTCCTATCTAGACAGTTGGAGGTCTTGAGGCCCCACGTGGTAACAGCCATGCTGAAGGAGGACTCGAACATGAAGGCCTGTTGGGAACAACAGCAAGTACGTTAGGGCAGGAAGGAGAGGAGGGAATACACACATAGTGATCATGCTTTATTAGGTATATACAGAAAATACACCAAAGGTCCAGTGTTGGCCAGACTCTAGCTCCTAGCTTCTCAGTTTGGGGAGGTTCCCAGCTGAGGCCAGCCTAGCATAACTCCTACCTGCTCAGTCAAGGGGAGAAAGCTTCCAGCTAAGACCACTAAAACTGTCCATAATGCCGCCCATTGAGATGTACCATTGCAATGCTGGTGTTTGGCAGGTCCCAAAAGGGATTTTGGAATCTGGGAACATCCTGGAAAATCCAGACTATCCAAGAAATCCTGGGACAGGGCCTGCTGGGGGACCATTTTCTAGAGCCAGTCATTAGTTGGTCTGAGGAACTGGGGGTGGAAGGGAGTGTGCTTTTGTCCCCAAGAAGATGAGGCGAGCTTTTTTGGAACTTCTGAGCTCCCCTTTAAAGTGGCCAGATTATCAAAAGAGCTCAGCATGTTGTGTCACAATGGGGGAGCTGAGCACCTACAATCAAGCTCCAATTTTGGGTGTTCAGCACTTCAAATCTCTCCCTAGACACACTTCCAACCAGGAGAGCAAAGGTCTGAGCTGCATTTCTGAGACCCATGTTGGTAGCATGTGCTGCTGCTGCTAGAGCTTTTACCTGGCTAGGCAGACATTTTACTTGCTCTGTAGGGCTCTTACCATAGTCCCTTCTGCAACTCTCTCGGGCTCTAGCCTGGCTTTGCTTGCCTTCTCAAAACACTCAGCATCTGGCCCATGAGGTGTCATCATGCTGTGCAGGCTGCCCCCTCCTGGCTGGAACCCTTCTTCCTTCGCTTCATAGTGCCCTTTGATCAGCCCCATGAACTCGCTCATACAGTTCCCTATAGAAGTGGAGACACAATCGATGTTACAACTCAATACCATTTGCAGTCCTCGCGGCGTGGCGGTCATCCCCTTGAAGATCACAAACTAAGTAGGGCTGGACCAGCTTAGTATTTGGATCAGTGACCTCCAAACAACTGCAGGGGTGATGCAAGATGTAGTGTTGGTGATCCAGTGTGTGGTGCTCTTAGGGCTGCTCTACATGCAGGTTTTGTACCCCTACATTTATATGGATTCAGAAACCGATATAGTCAAAGCAGTACAACCTGCTCAGCTGGATGCAGGTATGCCAGTATGTAAGGAGTTCATACTGTATACCAATATAAGCACCTTTAAACCAGTATTACTGCGTCCACACTAGGGGGTTGCACTGCTTTAATTATATTGGTACTAAAACTGTGTAGAGAAGCCTATAATACTACTTTGTGTTCATAGGCACTGTTTATAGGTCATAAAGCACTTTATAAAGGAGGGTCAATATTAGTATCACGCTTTTGGAGATGGGGAAACTGAGACAAAGAGATCGGAAGTAACTTGCCTGAAGCCACACAGTAGGCCAGTGACAGAGCCAGGAACAAAACACAGGCCTGCTGATGCCTACTCCAGTGCCTTATGCACTAGGGGATATTGCTACACATTTTTGTAGAAGCTCTGAGCCACCTGTGTACTCTAACATCTTGTTTCATTCTTTTATACTCACTCTATCTTGGTCATAAAAGTCCAATATCTAATGGTTATGGGCCAAATTTTGCCACCGGTACTCATGATGAGCACTAGTCCCACTAAAAGCAATGCAGTAAGCTCTTATGGAATAAGATCCCACTCGTGTAAAGGTTGCTGAATTTGGCTCTTGACTTCTCATTAAGGTATGTTCTTGTCTCTCTAAAATATGTATTTTAGTCCCAGTTCTGCAAACTACCACCACTTGTAGTACCCACTTACCTCAGTAGATTTGACTCTAATAGGTCTACTCAGTGTAGTTAGTATTATACTTGGCTACACATTTTTGTAAGATCAAGCCATATGGCGGTAGTTGTGTTCTTTACATTTCCATTTGAATCAGCAGCGCACCCTTTCTTCAGTGCAATTCAGGGGATGAAGCATTTAACTACAAAACTACTTTAGCAAAAATATAGGTAGCCTATATCTGCAAGCAAATGTTCACTACTACTCATTCTTAATCTGCAGTATCGTGTGTATGAATGGTTTACTGAGAATTTTTCATATAAATGGCTCATGGACTGCATTTAGGAGGCACAGAAGTGTAAGATGTTACATAGGTGTAGCTAAGGCTGTAAAATAAATCATAGGAAGGCTAGCCTAGCAGTTAGGACACTGGTTTGGAACTTGAAATGACCCAGGTTCAATTCTTGGCTCATCCACAGACTTCCTGTGACCATAGGCAAATCACTTACTCCACTCTGTGCCTCAGTTCCCTATCTGTAAAATGGGAAAAACAGCACTTCCCTCCCTGAGTAGGGTTCTGGGAAGACAAATACATTCATGATTCTCAGACATTTGGATACTACAGGGATGAGGGTCATATAAATACCTTCGAAGACAGAGAAATAGCGTATGCCCATGTAATAAAAGCCTCTATATGCATTCATACATAGGGGAAAGTTAAGGTTGTGTGGGAAATCATAACTTTGCCACTTCATGATCTGAGTACCTAACTGTGCAGCCTTCATGTTCTCTGAATGCAGGTTTTTGACAGGACACAAGAACTGACAACAATAGTTCTGCAGGTAAAAGGCTAGATCCCGTGTAAAATGTCTGAGAAAGAACGGCTTAAACCCATTATCCCTTCACAGTGGTGCTGAGCGCCACAGATTTCAATGGGATTTGAAGATGTTCAGCATTTTGCAAGACTGGGTCCTTCCTAAGCCAATGTAATGTGTTCAGAGAGCCAGGTCAGACCCCATCGTTCCATAGGTGAAAAACAATTCTATAAATATGAATTTAGTGTTTCACACACACTCTCAGTGGCCTGGTGTAATTGGTGTCTAGCTGTTTTCCCTTTCTTTCATTATTTAAAACGAGAGCAGGAGAATAAGCCAAGGACTTGCCTCTGGGATTTATTCAGATGGACACACAACTGCCCCTTGTGCTGTCAGGGGGCTGGGTTTTTATCAGAAAAAATCCCCCGGGTGTCCTTCAGAACTAAGTCCAAGTAATGGCGGGAGTGGGAGGGTGGAGAAATTATTATTACACAAATGTTTTAAGCGCCCCAGATATTGCTGGGGTAACAACAGCACCACTTTCCAACTAGATACACATGAAGTGGTGAAGAAGGATGGCCTTGTGGTTATGGCACTGGAGAGGAGCTCAGAAGATCTAGGGTCCAGTGCCAGTTATGACACAGACTTCCGGTGTGATCTTGAGCAAGTCACTTAACCATTCAGTGCCTCAATTCCCCATCTATAAAATGGGGATAATACTTGCCTTCTCCCACCCTTTGTGTCTCTTCTCCGGTGTGATGGTAAGCATTGGCGGGCAGGGACTATTTATAGGGTACGTCTACACTGCAAATTAACATGCAATTATAGCTTGGGTAGGTACACCCATGCTTGCTTTAATTTAGGTAGCATAGCTAAAAAATAGTTGGGAAGATATGGAGGCACAGATTCCGGTGTAGGCCAGCAACCTGAATACATATCCATGGTCCCCCGTGGGGCTGTACTAAGGCAGCTAGCTTGCACTGAAGCTCGAGCCACCGTGTCTTCACTACTAACTACTACTGTTACCTGCTCTACCTAGATTAAAGCTGGTGTGGGTCTTCCTTCCCATGCTACACTCACACCTTCGCTTGCAATGCAGACATACCATTACTAGGCATTTGCACAGTGCCAGTACAATGGGGACCCAACTTTGGTGGGGCCACTAGGTGCTTCTCTAATACAAATAAATGTACGTGTGTAACCACAAGCCACGTCACCTCCTGTACAGTTGTTCTCGGCTGCTGTAAATGGGGACAGCTTTCCATTGGTTCCTGCCCCAAGAAAGACTGGCTGGCTGCAAGTGGCCCCCGTTAGCTGAGTGAGAGGATGCAGGCAAAGCCATCTTTCTCCTTGTGGCTCCTATGGAGAACAGGAAGCGTGGCTTGTTTGACCCCCTCCCTCGACCTGCTTCTCAAGTGTAACTGAGTAAAGGCAGACATACTGTGGTAATAAGGTGGCCGGAAGGTGTTGTTTGCCACCCCCCATCGGGGAGGGAAGATGACAAAGTCAGCAAGTGCCACTCCAGGTCGGGTTGACTTGGCTGTCAAGACAGTGAAAATAGACGGGTCCTACAGAAAAAAGACAAACAGGATGGCCAATCAGAAAACATGGCTAAGTTCAGACCTGTCAGTTCAGCTGCATCCTGTGAGCCACACCTGCCAATTCAGCCTCTCACCCTCTGAAACACTTTCATCACCTGCATTTTAGAAGTGGTTTGGAGGGCGAGTGGGATTTCTTGGCTGGCATGAGGCCACCCATGCTCCGGATCCCATTCTGGGCATAGGAGGAAGGAGACGGGTAGGCTGCTTCCTTATTTGGCTGGCCTAGAAGAGCTCCAATTCTTGTCTCTCCGATGACAAGCACTCTGCCATCCCTGACCTTCCACCATCTTGTCTGGGTCCTACTGAGTCCCTCACATGGCTACAGCACTGACTGCAGAGAGGAAGAGGGGCTGTCCTGAGCCCAGAATGCTGCAGCACTTCCTCATCCCACAGGGGATGCTGGCTTCAGGGGAGACCATACAGCTCTGCTCCTCTCCTTTCCCCCGAGTGACCCTAATATGGCAAAACACAACATTTCCAATAAGTTCCCAGAATGTATTGGGGACAACTTTTTGTTTCAGAAGGTGGAGGAAGTAACCAGGGGAACAGCCATTTTAGACTTGATTCTGACCAACAGGGAGACCTTGGTTGTGAATCTGAAGGTGGAAGGCAATTTGGGTGAAAGTGTTCATGAAATGATAGATTGGAAATGATAAGGAAAGGAAGGAGTGACCGCAGCAGAATAAGGATAATGGCCTTTAAAAAACCAGACTTTAACAGACTCAGAGAACTGGCAAGTAAGGTCCCATGGGAAGAAAATCTCAGGGAAAGAGGAATTAGTAAGTTTCTCAATGAGACAATATTAAAGACACAACTGCAAACTATCCTGATGTGAAGAAAAGATAGGAAGAATAATAAAGAGGCCAATATGGCTCCATCAGGAACTCTTTAATGATCTGAAAATCAGAAAGAAATCCTACAAAAAGTGGGAACATGGATGCATTGCTAAGGATGAAAACAAAAGAATAGCACAAACATGTTAGGGACAACATCAGAAAGGCTAAGGGCCAAAATGGGTTACATTTAGCAGGGGACATAAAAGGCAATAAGAAGAGGTTCTTTGAGTACATTAGGAGCAAGAGAAAGATGAAGGAAAGTGTAGGTACTCTACTTAGAGGGAAAGAGAGCTAATAACTGATGACATCAAGAAGCTTGAAGAGTTTAATGCCTGTTTTGCTTCAGTCTTCACTAAAAAGGTTAATAGTGATCAGATACTCAATACAATAATAACAACCAGAAGGAAGAAATGTACGCCAAAACAGGAAAAGGACAAGTTAAAAAATATTTAGATACATTAGATGTATTCAAGTTGGCAAGATCTGATTAAATTCATCCAAGGGTTACTTAATGAATTGGCTGAAGCAATCCTGGCACCGTTAGCGATTATCTTTGAGAATTCCTTGAGGATGGTTGAGGTCCCAGAGGACTGGAGAAGGACAAACATAGTAACTATCTTTAAAAAGGGGAACAAAGATGACCTGGGAAATTATAGACTAGTCAGCTTAATTTCAATGCCTGGAAAGATACCTGAACAAATTATTAAACAATCAATTTGTAAGCACTTATAGGATAATAGAGTTTAAGGAATAGGCACCATGGATTTTTCAAGAACAAATCATGCCAAACCATCCTAATTTCCTTCTTTGTCAGGGTTAATGGCCTAGTGGATGAGGAAGCTGTAGATGTGATATATCTTGATTTTAGTAAGGCTTTTGATACAGTGTCTCATGACATTCTCATTAGCAAACTAATGATGTGGTCTAGATGAAATTACTATAAATTGAATGTGACACTGGCAGGCCAGGTGCCAGCTCATGACAAGGTCCCCATGTCTCAACTGAACATTGACCAATACATAGCTGGAATCAGTTTGGCTCACCTGTGTGTTAGTATTGTTAAAATAGGTATTAGAACTATAAGAATGTGTTTAGTGTTTATACTTTATTGAATGCTTGTGAGTTGCCATATGTATTGATCTCACTTACAACATCTGTATTCCATATTGTAAGGTAGTATTTGTATAACTGTATTGTAAGGTCTCTGTGCCTGTCTAAATCACCAGGTAGGAGAGAGACATTAACTAGTATTAAGAGTTGATCTTCAACAGAAGGTGTTATGGCCTTCCCAACAGGAAAGGTCCATTGATACCAGATGGACTATTGTGCAGTGTTGCAAATGGAATTTCCCTATATACTGTCAACAAAAGACTTTTGTTGTTCTGCCCCCCTGCCCATGCAGATGAATCATGCAAGTGGATTCCTCCCATCTGCTGAGTTGGTAGCTCACAGCACATTACAGGAGAGGGATAAAACCTCTAACAAGAAGGAACTGATTATGCTGATTGGACTCTGGGGGGCAAGGTTTCTAGGCATAAGCATGAGATCCCCAGCTGCTTAGCCTGGGTTAGCCCTAAAGGACATACAGAGTTTGCCGAATATAGAAGCTTCTATCATCTTTTAAAACTTAAGATTGGAACTCATTTGGGTATCTATGTTTACTTGCTTTAACCTTGTAAATAACTCTCTGGTTTTCTTTTCCTAGTTCATAAATGTTTAAATAGTTTATTATAGGATTGGCTATAAGTGTTGTCACTGGTGTGAGATCTATGGGGCAATTAATCTAGAGTAAGTGACTGGTCCTTGGGGACTGGGAGTAACCTAAATATTGCTGTGATTCTTTGTGTAAGGGACCATCTATCTGAGTGGTAAGATAGATTGGAGTAGCCCATGGGACAGTCTGTGACTCCGTGTTAAGGCTGTTATAGTGACTGAGCAGTTTACACTTGATAACTAGTTTGGAAATCTAAGTATAGAACTCACAACCAATTTGAGGTTTGTGCCTAGTTCCTAACTGTCTGCTCTGATGTTGATACTCATGCTTTTGAGTCACTGCAGAGCATTACAGTGGTTGCACAGCTGGTTGGAAGACTACATTCAGAGTAGTTATCAACGGTTCGCTGTCAAATTGGAAGGGCATATCTAGTGGGCCCCTGCAGAGGTCAGTTCTGGGTCCTGTACTATTCAATATTTTCATTAACAATTTGGATAATAGAAAGGAAAGTATGCTTATAAAATTTGCAGATAACACCAAGTTGAGGGGAAGGGACTTGTAAGCACTTTGGAGGACAGGATTGGAATTCAAAACGATCCTGACAAATTAAGAGAATTGGTCTGAAATCAACAAGATAAAAATGAAGAAAGACAAGTGCAAAGTACTGCACTCTAGGAAGGAAAAATAAAATGCACAACTACAAAATGGGGAAAAGCTGGAAAGGTGGTCGTACTGCTGAAAAGGATCTGGGGTTTATAGTGGAGCACAAATTGAATATGAACCAACAACGCAATGCAGTTGCAAAAAAAGGCTAATATCATTCTGGGGTGTATTACCCATAGTGTTGTATGTAAGACACGGAAGGTAACTGTCCTCTCTACTAAACACTGGTGAGGCCTCAACTGAAGTACTGTGTCCAATTCTGGGCGTTGCACTTTAGGAAAGATGTGCACAAATTGGAGAGAGGCCAGAGAACAATAAAAATGATCAAAAGTTTAGAAAACCTGACCTGTGAGGAAAGGTTAAAAAAACTGGGCATGTTTAGTCTTGAGAGAAGAAGACTGAGAGGGACCCGATAACAGTCTTCAAATATGTTCAAGGCTGTTATAAAGAGGATGGTGATCAGTTGTTCTCCATGTCTTAATGGACTTAATGTTTCCATGGGCTTAATCTGCAGCAAGGCAGATTTAGGTTAGATATTAGGAAAACCTTCTAACTGTAAGGATAGTCAAGCTCTGGAACAGGCTTCCAAGGGAGGCTGTGGAATCCCTGTCATTGGAGGTTTTTAAGAACAGATTGGACAAACACGTCAGGGATGGTCTAGGTTTAATTAGTCCCACCTCAATGAAAGGGGCTGGACTTAATGACTTCTCAAGGTCCCTTCCAGCCCTCCATTTCTATGATTTCCCTCACTACAGAGACTAGCGGAAAAAAAAAAAAAAAAGAGTGAAACTGAGTGAGGAGGAAGCAGAAATGGAGAGAACACACCAACCCCAGCTCTGATAGAATTATACACAGTGCCCAGCGCGGCATTTGCCAGGAATGTGTGTGCAGGGAAGATCTATGGGCTGACGAGAGCTGAGTTGGGACATCAATCTAGAGACTTGTGAGCATGGCCGCTGGTTAGTGGGGGCTGGATGAAGATTGTGCTGAAAGGGCGAGACCGGGGCAGGGAAGGGGCTCAGTATATTGAGAAGTATACTTGTCTGTGGTAATAAAACAGCACTTTGTCCTTATCTAGTTTTAGTCTGAAGAACATTTTACAGATACAAATCAATAAAATCCTGGTGGGTCAGCACTATCATCCCCCTTAACAGATGGGGAAGGGGAGTGATTTGTTCAAGAGTGCACAGTAAGGCAATGACAGAGCCCAGAAGTCTTGACTCCACAACTCCTCCTCAACCCTTTCTGTGAAGTTTACCGAAGACAAGAACATCCAATGGACTAGGAACTTAGCCTCCCAGCCCCTCATGAGGTGGGAAATGATTACGTTCCTCCTTTTTACAAGTGAGGAAATCGAGGCACAGAGAGATTGTGACTTGCCTCAGGTCACATAGTGGTTTGGTAACCTAGCTGGGACTGGACTCCAGTCAGAGTCCCTGGGCTTTCATCACAAGATCATCCTTTCCCCTGGCATGTTTAACTAGAATCTGAGCAATGCTTTCTGTTGGCTGCCTAACTAGAAATTCTCCATTCTCACATGCAGAAGCAATGCCAAGAAATAGCCTAATGAAAACAAATATTTCACTGGGCTGGTTCTTTATAAGAGAAACTGCTTGCATTGATTTTGGCTTTTGTTACTTTTCATAAGCATTATAAACTATTACAATGAAAGCTGCCAATTCTTCAAATACAGTTACAGCCCTGGGCTCAGGGGACCCAAAGGAAACACTCTGCAGAGTCATTTTCTAACTGAGAGGTGAATCAGAATGAGAATTTGAGGCAGAATTCTCTTCTCTGACTTGCACAGTGGACATCAACTCCAACTGTCAGCTCTCCTTGTAGGCGCAGAGTTCCCCCATTGGGCCATGGTGTAAAGCAATGTTTTGCAAACTGGGCCACATTCAGCAATGTGTAAGCATGTGCAGCACTTGTGCCCCTTTACACCAGAGCTGAATTGGGCCCAGTGTAAAAAGCAGTAGTGATTTCCCCACCCTCACCTGCTTGTTTGTCTCATCCACCTGTTATGTCTTGTCTCTTAGAGCGCAAGCTCTTTGGCACTGGGACTGGCATTTTTTATATGTTCATAGAGGGCCTAGCACAATGGAGTTCAACCTGGTTGTGGACTCCAAGTGCTCCCACAACAGAAATGTTAAATAATAATAGTAATTAATAAGAACTATATAATATTACTGAAAGACAGCTGTGGTCCAAACGCAGCAGGGAGACACAGTGCTGTCAGCAACATGCCTGGTGTAAGTCGGTCAAAAATCAGGAGTAAGTGATAAACTAGACTAAGTCCGATCAATTTAGCAGGTGTGCAAAAGGACTGTACCTTATATTCCCCCCTCTACCTATTCAAGGTATAACAGGAAAAGCAACAATCAGGAGGGTGTAAGATTCCCTGATGTAAGGCCTGAGTTCCCTCCCTGTTACACCAGTTTCACCCAACGTAAAACAACTTATTTCAACATAGAACAAGTGTAATGGACTGGAGAATTGGGCCCACTCTGTGTGGGAACTGTCTTGCCTTGCACAGCCCTGTTGAGCGCTTTCCCAGCTGTTCTCAAGGAGACTGAAAGTCACAGGTGCTTGAGATGTCAACGTGGTGCAAGCTACACAGACTTGCCACTGACATCCATTTTCTAATTCACCAGTTACCTGCTGTGCAACTTACACTGCCATTTACAACACTGCAGAATTAGGTCCCAACTCCAAGGACTTACAGACATTTGTTTCAGGCTGAATTAGACTTTGGCCTTGTGGTGTGGCAAGCAGAAGACTGAGATGAAGAGGCGGGGTAGTGTGTTGCAGGAGACTGGGCAACAGGACTGTCCCAGGTTCTATTTCCATCTCTGCCACTGACACATTGTGTGGCACTGGAGAAGCTAGGTCAACATTTTCAAACTTAGGTACCCCAGTTATGCTCCTAAATCTATATTTAGGCTCCTAATAAGAGACCTCGTTTTTCCGTGGTGTTGAGCACCCACAGCTCCCAATGGCTTTAGATTTCATAGGTGCCAATTTCATTGCTCCACCTCATACATTCCTATATTGACAGCCTTAGAACTTACCGCATGGTCAAAAGCAACAGAATTGATGACCATAAAGTTATCCAGATTGTATTTGTATGGTGTGTAGTTCCCATGCCAGGCCACCACATTGAATGGGGAGAAATCCTATCAAATCAAGAAGAACAAAGGCAGCAGAGGATTATCCCTAGTGCTCTCCAAACATTCTGCTAACATACAGGGCCCTGCTCTGTAATTCAAAACACATTCAGTGTTAGTAACCGGTGCCCGATTGACAGCCTGGAGACCGAAACCCCCTGTGTATCCATAGAACAGGTATTGCCTGGGCAGTGGCAGGGCACATTCCACCTCGCCATACCCTGCCAATGGGCCTCAGTCCTGCACCATCTCTAGTGATGAGAGGGGAGTTCGGTGTCCAAGGCCCATTTACTCCTTGGCTTCATTGCTGACACCACCCATAAGGAAATAGTTGTAATGGGAATTTTTTGTGACGGGAACACCTGCCCACTAGAAATTAGACCAATGCCCTCCCACAAAAACACACTCCTGTCTTTTCACATAGGCCATTGAATAGCATTTGGAAGCAGTGAGGTAAAAATCACCTCCTAGAGGCAAAGCATCACTAACTTCAGAGTCAAACAATTCTTTAAGAAACATTTACTATGGACGGAGAGCATTTTAGTTGGAGGGAGAAATGTGCCAACAAAACAGCGGGCTCACTCCTGCTTTCATTTAACTCAATGGGAGTTTGGCCGCTGACTTCAGTGGGAGAAGGATTGGTCCCCAAAGTTATTTGCCATGTTGGTAAATAGTACATCCTACAATGCGCACTTATTATAACTAATAGAGCTTCAGTGTGATCCAGTCTTTGTGAAAAGGACTCTGATTTCCTTACCTGTTGGGCTGAAAACAACTTGCCCTGGTACTTGCTGATCACTGTGTAGTCACCTGCTACTTGGCGATCTTCATACCAGGCAACTGGCACTAAGAAATCTCGTGGGTTAGCCAGACCATTGGCCCCTCGGGTAGAAAAAAAGAAAGTAGCAAGATTATAGGTGATGTCTTTACAAAGTGGGGACTGTTGTCCTTCCCTGGTTATACCGGTGTATTTTTGGAGTTTGAATGACTTTAGAGGCACTTCACTGTACTCCATAAACAGGCTTATTGTTCCCAACAAAACTATTTACCTGTAATCCTTACTCTCAGACAGGGGTCACTGTTACACGCCCTGGCATTTAAGTCCATGTTCCCATCATGGGAGTCAGACAACTCTCACAGCTCTGATTACTACACTGTTACACACCCTCAATAGTCGGGGAGTGTTACCTTGGGGTGGCAGAAGACGATTAGACATCAGGGACTTTCTATTCCTGGCTCTGTCACTGACTGGTTGCATAACCTTGGGGAAAGATCTCTAGAAAGTCATCAGGCACTAGCACATTTCTGGATGTGTGGAAAATAATAATCAAATGAGGCTAATGATACTTATTTAGTTTTAGGTGTATTGTAAGAGTTAGTTAATGTCTGTAGAGCATTTTCAAGTGTAAAGCACCATTTGAGTGCTAAGCATTCTTCTCCTCATTATTATTGTTATTAATACAAAGAACTTTGACTTCCTTGGATAAAAGTGCCAGGCATTACTACCTTCTGCTGAGGTTTAACAGTCAGTACTTTCCTCCAGCTGTCAGTTTTCAAGTGAAAAGTGAAGTTAAACAAGAATAAAATATATAAAGCATCATGATCTCTGGGGGGAAGCTGGGTGGCTGGTATGGAGAGGATCTCTTATAATTACTACCTCCTGAAAAGAAGAATTGCAGGCAAGTACAGTAATTTTATTTTCTCCAAAAATAAAATGTTAGAATAGATTTCTCCCCTCTCGGAGACTCAAAAATTCCAAAGATGTCTCTGAAAAAAGCTAACTAATGAAAAAGCTTGTTATAAATACATAGGCAAAATAGTATAAATAATCATATGAAACAGGCACTGACTGCAACGACAACATGAAATCACCGTATCCTGACTGGACTGCTACAGCTAAGGGTGCCGAAGAATCACTATTATAATCTCATTCCACAGGACTCTAGTGCATTCAGTGAACAAGGCAAAGGATCTGCAGAGCACACATCACACAGGAGGGGGCATTTTTGTGGTTTCTGGCCAAACAGTTGCCTGTTACATAGTTCTCCAACTGAACAGAGAAGACTGCATTTGAGACCTGGCTCCTATCCTTCCCACTTTAATGATCTCCAGTTCCCACAGCAATTTCCTCTTTGGAAGAATCCTTTCTGGGTTCTTGTCCCATGCATCGGAGATGGGGGAAGAAAATCTGAGACTCCTCCTCTTCGTCCTCCATCCTCTGAGAACACAATGCAAAGCCGATGACCTTCTGTAGTTAAAAGGGTATGTGGACTTTTGGCCTTGTGTACTTGCACTAATGAGCACTTACACACACTAATCAGATACAGTAACGGAGCACAAATGGCTGGTTACCCAAATTGCAGGTGCAAATGCTGGTCTGGGCAGGAGGTATGCATATCTTTAATGCAGCTTCCCTACTGCATGAAACTTCAGAAATTTAGCCCTACATTTCTAACTATAGTCACAGAGCTAAATTCTTCTCTCAGTTACACTAGTGTAAATCCAAAATACCTCCACGGACTCACTGGAGTGATTGATGTATACCGGTGCGGTTGAGAGCAGAATTTAGCCCAATGTCCGTAAAAGGAATTTCAAAAAAACAAGTACATCTATAGAGATCTAAAAGGCCAAGAGCATGTTTGGAATGAGCCAGCTGGGGGACAAGACTGGGGTGGGAGGAATTTCTCTACTCTGGGGGGATCAGGGAATTAATGGCCTTCCAAGTTTTTTGTTGGGAATGGGGGCTACTCTGTGAAATGATAGTGTCCATTTGTCAGGGAGCAACTGAAGAGCATCTCCGGGCCTCCTATTGAGCATCTCATACTGAGGCTTCGAATTCATTCTTAGCAGAGAGGTCTCTGAAATTTTAAGCCTTCCTATGTCGTAAAAGGGAGTTTGCTACAAGAAGAGGATGGACCTAGCCTTCTGTATCCCATATGAATGGAAAGCCTGGGGAGGAAGGAGGAATGGATTTTGGCTCGCCGTCTCTTGCTCTTGTAGCACTCTGGCCCCACGGAACCCATTGTAAACTTGATGGTGAATCTTTACCGATGGGTCCCAGGTCAGGTAGCTCGAAATGCGCGCCAAACACCTCCAGGATGTAGCCCCTGGTTTCTCCAAACACCTCCACACTGAAACGCATCCCTTGCTAGGAGGGAAAAAATAAAAGTAGATATCAAGAGCAGCTCAAGATGGTTGTTACAGCCAACAAGAGGTTCATGTAGAAGTGGCCAATGTGCAGCTTGTGGGCCAAATGCAGACAACTGACTTCTACAGGTGCCCCCCAAGGTTGCCCTCAAGTTTAACATGGTGGCATGGCTTGCTGAGCCTACATATCCCAGCATGCAATGCTAAAACTGGATTCAAGCAGCTCATGCCACACTGTATGCTTCTCTATTAAAGATTAGGGTGGCTGTGACTGGTGCACTGTACACAAATTAGGTCAGCCCAGGGGTTCATGGCAAGTTCCTAATGCAGCCTCTGCTGAGCAAAGTTTAAGGTCTCCTGAGTTAGTCCAGCTCTCTGGGGTTCGACTGAGGTCAAGCAAAACTCACTGTTTCAGCGTCAGCAGCATGCTTTTGGAGGTTCCCTCCAAAAACAAGCCAGCAGGAGGTGGAATTCTGCCTAGTCCTCACCTGAATGACACAGATCTCATTGGGCTCCACCAGCAATTTGCCAAACTCGGTGGTGATGAGCAGCTTCCCTTGCTGTGGCACTGTGGGAAGGGAACATAAGCAGAGGACACTGAGGAACTGGAGGGTTTTCCTGTCACCAAAAGTCACAGTTTAGAAGCTTCAATCTGCACATTCATTCACGCTACCAGCCTCCTAGGGAGGCTCCTGATTCTCTTAGCTGCAGATGCACTCTGTTCTTCCTGACCCCACCATCAACCTCACACTCTGGCCTAGGGAGAAATGTTGTCTGTAAGCAGCAAACAGAAGCAGACTAATGTTGCAGGCAAACAAATCGCTCAAACAGGGAAAAAAAAAGTACAGAAACACGATCTTTTGTTGTTCAAAGAAGCAACTACTGATGAATGATGCCAGACTGACTGCTCTGTATCCACAGAGCAGGCTGCAGTAGTGCAACTGTGCTTCTCACTGCTCTCCAGCCAGCAGGATCACCTTGAGGGGTAAGACGTAAATTCAGCCTTCTTGAGCCATTCAGTACTTGGTCTCAGGTTAAACTGACAACAAGAAGTCCAGTTAATGACAGCTGTGATTGGTTTATATATCCACTAAGAACTGGCCTGAGTTCCTCAGATTCATTTCACCTAAGGGCCAGTGAAGAGCCATTAGATGGGAGCAGTGCTCAGTCACCAGGGCCCAGCTCCTCAAAAATATTTAGGTGCCTAACTCCCATTGAAACCAAAGGAAACAAGGTGCCTAAACACCTTTGAGGACCAGGGCCTAGCAGCCGAGGATGGATTTAAACTAGAGACCTAGATGCAAAAGGCTCCATATGCCAATCCCCAGAGCCAGCCAGTCAGTTCCTCTTCCCTTGTGCCTACTCCACTAGGAGAATAAATTAATTTTTGAGTGGCAGTGAGTCCAAACTTCTGAACTCTGAGAATACAAAAAAGGGGGACAGAGGTTACTATTGCACTATACCTCAAGGCAGTGGTTCGGGGGATTACTCAACACATTCTCTCACATGAGGAGCCTCTCCCCTTCACCAAAGATGCAAACTGTGTCTCCCAGAGCTACAGGATCCTGCTTTCCATGTGGTTGCCCCTTCACTTCTTTGATACACAGCAAAGGCCCAGTATGGTTAACTCTCCACTCTACTAGAGCGGGGGCTAACGGTCTTTAGTTAACCTTTGCATTCGTTCTCTTGAATGTACTGGCCCAGGAGAGCCCACACTGTAACTGGAAGGCCTGTAAAGTCTTGCAATGTGCCCTTTCCCTTTCACCTCATGGTGGGGCGAGAGCTGAGGAACTGCAGTTTGGTATTTTTGGATTTTTGCAGATGAATGAGTTCATCACCAAGTCGTTTCTATTAATCAATCAAAAAATATATAAACAAATATCAGGGTCACATGCATTTATTTTTGGTGAAATAAAGTATTTAAATATGCATGCATTTCAAGTGCCAATGCAACACTTATTGTTGCAAGTTTGGACGCCCTAGTCTGGTGGAACTCAGGAGCACAGATCCGCTGTCAAAGACTCACTAGTCTTAGACTGAAGCAAAGCTGTGAGCTGTCTATCAATCCCAGGGTTTATAGTTTCCAGAAAACCTCAAGGGCTTTTATGATATGCCTAATAGGATTCCCACAATAGCATACAGATGCAGAGCACTAGGAACCAGACGCTGACTAGCTAGCCAAGGAATCTGGGCCCTGTTAAAAAAAAAAAAAAAAAAAAAAAAAAAGACTTACAATCCTGGGCTGAGAGAGAGAAGCTGAATGTGGTAGACAACTCAACCATTACCAAACCACCTAATTTTGGATGGTCCAGGAGTGATGTTAATCACTGACCATCAGTCCAAACCTTCCCAGAAGGAAGAACGAACCAGGTGTTGGGAGAAACAGAGAGGAGGGCTGATGGCAACAGAGATTAGCAATGATGGGGGGGGGGGGGGGAATAGAAGTCACATTAGTAACTCACCAATCAGGAAGTCTCCATCTGAATTGTAAAAGCACCTAAAGAAAAAGGAGCACAGGCACACACATACTACAGGCTGTAACATGAGGGTCTCTTGAGCAGGTTGAGTGTCAGTGATGCCAATGGAGGCAACCTTGGGAGCCCCACTCACAGGGCTGGAGGAGACTCAGCACATAGAGGCACGCAGGAGGCAGGATGATCTAATGCACAAAGCACAGGACTAGGAACTCCCCAGGACTAGTCTTGCCTCTGCTAACATCCTTCCTCTGTGACCTTGGGCAAATCACTTCCCCACTCTGAGCCTCCATTTCCCCATCTGTAAAATGGAGATTATGATGCTGACCCACCTGACAGAATTGTTGTGAGGAACTGTTAATGTCTGTCAGGTGTGATATTAAGTATTATTGACCTCCAAGGGTGAGCTTGGTCTGTGGGATAAGGATCTATGAACCCTGCAGAAAAGCACCTCTTATCTCTGCAGCCCCAACCCTTCACCATTCCCACCTCCCTGCTGATCAATGTGCACCCCATCTCTTTGCATGATGTTTACCCAAGGGAGCGCAATCTGCTAGGGCTTTCTATACCACTCCTCACCATAGTGATGGAAAAGGCCTAAAGATTTAAATAAAATCTAGGACATGTATTTAATCTTGCATTTAACCATGTCAGCTATTTGCTAATTGGCTCACTTGGCTCACAAGTATATGCAGCTGTTTTCCCATATATCCCCAAGGCATTTAGTGCAAAGGGTCAAGGGATGTACCTTGTTCTCCCTTCAAAATGACAAATGTATCCCCTTCCCCAAAATAATATATGTATTCTGTGTAACCTGTTATCTATAGGTCAGCATAATGACGCGGCTGAGTTGTTTGTTACTGCTTATAAAAAGGGCCGATTGCGGCCATGAAAGGTGTGTCTCTCATCTGGCATGAGCCGATGAGAGCTCACCCACTCAGCTGACTGATCAATAAAGGACCTGGTACCCGTCTTTTTGTCTCTCCGTGCCTCCTTGGTGTAATTAGGTAAGCTCCGGGGGGAAACGGGCCCTATTTGGCCAACAATAGTATTTAAGTACTTTTGTTGCGTTCACATGAATTTAGGAGATATCTACGCATTGTTATTTGCAAAATAGTTGCTATGTGGTCTGTGCTCTCAGCGAGCATTTGCAATGAATTACAGATGGTAGCAGGATGGTTGCAAACTAACACTAAGGCTATGTCTACACTATGACCCTTACAGTGGCACAGCTGAGCTGTACCACTACAGCTGTGCTGTTGTAAGGTCTCACGTGTAGTCGCTCTTTGCTGGTGGGAGAGCGCTCTTCCGTCGGCACAGTTAAACCACCTCCAACCAGCAGCGGTAGCTATGTCAGCTGGAGACTGTCTCCCGCCAACATTACGCTGTCCATACCAGCACTTTTGTCGGTGAAACTTATGTCGGTCAGGGATGTGTTTTTTCACACTGTAGAGGAGCGGACTCACCCCTGCGGCACCTCCTGCTAGTGACTTCTTGGAATTAGCTCTTCCAGCATCCTGGAGCGCCCTCTGCAGGCCAGTGGTCTGCCTGTCCTCTGGCCCCTGTGTCCCTCCCAGACCCTGGTGCCCTTTTATCTGGGGTGCTGCCCCCTGGCAGTACACCCCTCAGTACTAGGGTCTCCCCTCCCCAGGGAACCCCCACCCACTATCCCTACCTCACCTCAGAATAAGGCCACTGCCAGTCATCAACTAACCCCCGCTCCCTGGGGCAGACTGCAGTATAGGCCACTCATCACAGGTAAGGTTGGGTTTGGACCTGCTGCCTTGGCCTACCCATGAGCTGCCCTCTGCAACCCCCAGTACCTCTTAGCCTCCTACTAGGCCACAGCCTGGGACTATCCAGGCTGGAGCTCCCCAGCTACTCAGCCTATCCCCAGCCCTGCACCACTGAGGTACCCTGTGTCTAGCTCCCTGCAGCCAGGCCCTTCTCTCTCTGAAGGCAGAGAGAGACTGCTGAGCTTCTGGCTCCCAGCCTCTTTATACAGGCCAGCTGAGGCCTGATTGGGGCGTGGCCCAGCTGCAGCCACTTCCCCCAATCAGCCAGGGTTTTACCTTGCCCAGCCCCAGCCCTCTGCAGGGCTTTTCCAACCCCTCCACAGCCGGAGCAGGTGTTCACCCCGCTACACACACACACACACACACCTCTTTGAACAACAAAAGTTTTGCCGACAGAAGTGCTAGTGTAGACAAAGCCTAACATTTGCAAACTAACAGCCCTGGAAAACCTTGACCTCAAATCTAATGGTCACTGACCTATTAATCATGGAGGTGTTACAAGTGAAGATGTGGATGGCAATCCCATTGCGTGACTTGGGCTCCCCAGCTCCACACAATGTGTGCAAACCCTGGGAGACAAACACACTGAATTAGAAAGAGCAGCAGGTAGCTGGATGGAGACAAGATCCCTCCATCCTCTTTGATGGGGGTCCCCACTGGCTGGACTCCCTCCTTCCTCGCAGATCCCACCTCTGCTGGCTGGGGTCCCTGTCTCCGTGTGACTGTTTGCTGTTGTTTAAAATGACCCTGATCTTTGGAGATCACTCAAAGCTGAATATGTGGCAGAGCAGCACCCACTGGCTCACAGCGCATGAAGCTTCTTTAAAGCCCAGTAAAGGGGGGGGGGGCTTTGAAAACTGTGGCAGAAGACACAGACCCAGCCCAGTAGTCACTGGTAGGGAGCAGGGAACACCCTCTCCCCGAGGAGATGAGCTACCCCGGGTGTCTGTCCTCCTCACAGCATTTGCCAGGGAGCTCGTAAGAGGAATGGGGCTGGGCTCAGCTGGAGTCTGTCTATCCCCAGGGAGCAGCGAATCTCTCACTCTGTAGTTCCGGAGTCAGACCCAGCTTGGGAGGGTAGGGAATTCTGGCTTTGAGTGGTCTGGTTGATTTCAGTTAGGGATCTATGGCTGCAAAAAGCCCTTCCGACTTTTCGGTACCAGAACGCTATACGCGAGGCTTGGCTGCTCTTTACCCAGACTCTTTATTGCCAGCGTACAATCTAGTAGTAGGAGCAGGATTCCTGGGTTCTATTCCTAGCTCTGCCATTGACTCACTCACTGTGTGATCTTAGACAAGTCAGTGGGCTCTCTGTGCCTCAGTTTCCCCCTCTGTAAACTGCACAGTATTGCTATCTGCTCTACTAAACTCTACAAAGAAGGGAAATGCCCTGGGAGGCTCCAGCTGCTTGACTTACGCTCACAAAATCCAGTTTTTTTTCAGAGGCTCTTGGGATCCCAAAAGGCTTCCATCTCAGCTAGAATCAAGCAAACACAAAGTAAGGAAGGAAATGCTAGCCATTACAATATGAACAATGCCAGCTAAAAAGAACAGAGAGCCCTCCATGCTGTCACCCTGCCCTCTGCTGGGTATTTTGGGGATTTTCTTCTTCGCAGGGGATTTTAAAAATATTATTTTGCAAACCCGTTTTCTGACTTGGGAGCTGCCAAGCTTGAAATTCCTATTTAAAAACTGTCCTTCCCTGTGTTACTAACACCACCTGACATGCAAAGAATTTCAGATTAACTGACTCGTCACCACTGATGCTGTTTGTTTCATTTTGTGCTCTGCTCAGCATGCGACCATTCACTTGTTGCATGACCCTGGGCTATTCATGTCTATGCTCCATGCCTCAGTTTCCCCACCTGTCAGACAGGAGGGCTGCGGGCTCAGATAACTGCTGTTGGTAAAGCACTTGGAGTCGCTCACATAAAAGATGCTCGAGAAGTATATATTACTTGGAATGGCACTATGGCAGTCAGATTCGCTCTCTGGTTCTCAGGCTCCTAACACTGTGGAGATAGGTTTCAATTAAATAAAACTCCTACAACACCCAAAAAGCTTTGGGCCCCACTTATGATCTCAGGGACACTGAAGGTATGTCTACACGTGAGGTGAGAAGTGTGATTCCCACCTGCATAGATGTAACTGAGCTAACTCTGCTCGAGCTATCACAGTAAAAATAGCGGTGTCGTTGGGGTATCACAGGTGGTGGCTCAGGGTAGCCATCCCACTACATGCCCGCTGAGACCCCTGGACATGTACTCCAAGTTTACTCCAGTGTAAGTGTCTGGGTTTTAATGGAGTTATTCCTGATTAACACTGGTGGATCCGAGGGCAGAGTCAGGCTCTCTGATGACAGTTCTTTTTAAATCATGTAACATTTTGTAACATTTAAAAAAACCAAAATCTAAATTTTGAGCCTAAATGACTTGTCAGAGTCTCCTTGAAGATTAATCTTAGGAGGAAAAGGAAGTGGTGGTGTGCTGGGCCACACCACATGCACCTCTGAGTGAAACAGTGCAGGAGTTCATCACTTATTAATCAGCTGCACACCAGGCTTGGCACTGCTGGTGGCAGATAATTGCTCTGTTCTCTGAAGTCATCTGCTTACAAAAGAAGTCCTGTGGTTCAAGCCCTGTCATGGGCAGCCGGGTCAGGGCAGCCAAGCAGCTCTTGCTCCTGGCAGAGTCTCTTACTGAACACAGGGAAGTAAGCGTTGTATGTCTTTGTGCTACAGGATATTAATTATTTTTAAAAGGTAATAACATGGATCAAGAAAGTATAAATGAAAAAGACTTGAGTGAAATAATTATGAATTGCCTTTCACTTGTACTAAATAAGTCTGATACTTTTTTAAGTGGCAGAGGCAGTTTAAAGAAAGTGTGGATGGACTGAAAGCTAGGGGAGAAAGGATGGTCTAGTGGTTAAAACACAGAGCTCAAAGTTAGAAGGTCCAGGTTCACAGGCTGCCTATGTGACCTTACGCAACTCACTACCTTGCTCTGAGCCTTTGTTCCCCCATCCGTGAAATGAGGATGATAATTATCTGCTTTACAGAAGGGGTGGGGCTTATCTCATTAATACCTTGAGATCCAGGGACAGAAGGGGTTGGAGAAGAGCAAAGGGTTATTTATTATTAATAATAGTCATAACAACAATGGATATGATACACAAGCAGGGGCGGAGTGAGCTAACAGACCAAACTGGCAAGAGATCAACACATGATGCAACAGCTGACCGAGAGGGCTGGGAGCTATGAATGATACAATAGCCCAGGCCACTGGGTACAATGCTCTTCCTTGGGAGCATCTGGATGAACCTTCAGCATGTTTGTTGCCATGCAGCAATGTCCCAAGGGACTCTGCACACAAAGAGACTTTGGCTGCTCAAAAAAGGGGGCCTCTGAGGGAGGAGATATTTAGATGTCAGGCCAGATGTGGCCCTCATGATGTATTCCTATGACCAGCATGAAACAATCAGGTTATGGACACTCTAAGCTTTCATTTTTTTAAATAAAAAAGTGGCTAAGCCTCATTGCTGCAGCAATAACCTCCTAAATGTGAGCCAAGTGTAAATACAAAGTGATGACATGTCTGCCTGAGTCTGCAGACAGCCTGGAGCAATGGCTCAGAGGTGTGAACTTCCCTGTTCCCTATTTATCTCATTGGGAGTCACAATTCTAAAGGGCAATGAGGATACTTCAGTGTCAAAAGTGACAACTTCAGTGTCCACTGCTGATCAGTTTAAGCCCTTGATGGCTGGGAACTGACAGTCACTGCAGGCAAGGGATCGCAGACGGAAGAACAGAGAAGAGACACAAAACAAAAGAGAGGGGGAGAAAGAGAGATGGGAAAGGAAAGGAACAAAGGGCAGAAATAAAGGTGGCTTAAAGGAGAGCAGATTTTCTCACTGAGTGATACTGAATGTGACAAATTACTGAGTAAATAATAATATTTAGCTCCCACCTAAAGGCTGTATTCTCCCCTTGATATCGGTGCAAACCTCCACTGAAATTAGTGGGAGGTCCACCGTGGAATGAGGGGAGTAGAACGTCCTGAAATTATAGCCCAGCCTATGGACCACAATGAAACATAGAATTCAGCTCCCTCCTCCAAAGGAGTTTGACACCCTGCGCTAGATGTTAGGCTACTGCCTGGCTTTGAGTTGTATTCAAACAACTGGTTGATTCTTTATGTTTGGGTTTTATTGTGTTGGGCCCTGATCCAAAGCCCACGAAAGTCAAGGGAAAGGCTTCAATGGACTTTGGGTCAAGTCCTTAGATGACTCACTGTGGGGTCCTTATAAATGGATAAATATATAAATAAAAGATTCCACAGAAAACTGAAGTGAACTGTGCAAGACACCAGCCCTGGGGCCAAACCTAAGATCAATTGTGCTGGCAGGCTGTGAGCACCCAGACAAACAACACCCTGGCCTTGTGGTGTCTATGACCAATAGGTTCTGCCAACTAACTCGCTGATCATGACTCTATTCCCAGCTCAGATATCGGAGCTTGAGAGAGCAAAGGAACGGTGGCACCTATTGGCTCCCAGTATCCAAAGGCCCTTGGTACAGTTAGCTGGAGTGCCACCAGAGGTGCCTGGGTACTAGAATGATGGGTACTATAGACAACACCATAGCGATAGCGAGACATTCTCCTTGTCAGAGTAACTGAATCTCCTCTCTCATTCTCCTAAAGATGTCAGTTGAAAAATGGCTCCCCACTCTGAGCTCTAGGAAATTATCCTCCTAAATTTGATTACGGTGGCTTTAAGCTGTGAGGGAGGGGATAGCAGTTTTGTCACTTCCTTCAGGAAACCAATGTAATGTAAATAAATAGCTCCAGATACTTCCAGGATGGGTCCTTTAGAGGTACCTATATTAATAAATAATCATCATCTTAAGTTCTGTTTGTGAAAGGGGATCAGGGATGGATGAGGCTATAATAGAAACCATCAAAACTTCAGCTACGAAGGAGCGTCAGACAAAGACACACAAATATTATCCTGTCACAGTGACTGGAAAACATATTCCAGAACAACTGGGAGAATATTGAGATAAATAGTGGGGCCACTGGCTGGCTGGAAATTAGCTAATGATGATGCATCGAGGATAAAACCCGAGAGACGCTAGAGCCAATGAATACAAGAACACAGAGAGGGAAGGATGGCAGGAGGAACGAGGCAGATTAGCAAAACCAAATGCTGTGTGGCTGATGGGAAGAGGAAATCATGATTAAAGATGATGGCAAGGCCATAAAAGAGGAGGACAAATGCAATTGCTCTGCATGACTCTCTAGAACAAAACCTGATTTCCAAGGAGGGCTGAGGAGAAACACACGGGAAGGGAGTAACATCTCCAAAAACAAGGGGAGGGAATGTGTTGTGGGGACGATCTGCTCCTCTGCCTGCTCGGTGGGAGTCAGACGACCTTTTGACTGGGAAAAGTGAGAAATAGTACCGGGTTTACAATGGCGCCAGTGGTGCCATGGGGCCAGGCCCACGCTCAGAAGGGGCCCCAGCCTGGCCCACTCCACTTGTGCTGCGTCCTGAGCTGCTGGCTCCTCTCCACCCCCTGGCCCTTCCCCCCCACACTGCTAGTTCCTCTCAGCCGGCCGGCTGGCTGAGGGCTCCTCTCCGCCCCCATCACTGGCAGGCTGCTGACGGCCTGAAGAGTCCTCAGTCTCTGCTGCTCCCAGGACTGGCTCCAGGGTTTTTGCCGCCCCAAGCGGTGGGGAAAAAAAAAAAAAAAAGCCACAATTGCAATTGTGATCAGCGGCATTCCGGCAGCAGCTCCACCGTGCTGCTTTCTTCTTTGGCGGGAATTCGGCGGCAGGTGCTTCCCTCCGAGAGGGATACGCCGCCGAATTGCTGCCGAACAGCCCGACGTGCCGCCCCTTCCCCTTGGCCGCCCCAAGCACCTGCTTGCTGGGCTGGTGCCTGGAGCCGGCCCTGGCTGCTCCGGGCTGGTGATCGTCCCCTTTGGGCTCCCCAGGGGTGGGGCCTGCCTCTCCCTACCGCTCTGCAGAAGTGGCAGGCTGGGGAAGTTGGTGGCTGCCCTCCCCCACCCACTCCTGCAACCAGGCAGGCAGGGCTGGGTGGGACCCCGGGAGACGGAGCCACTCCCGAGCTTCAGCTGTCCTGCCCCCTAGCACTGTGCTGGGAGGGGGGATCCCTGCTCTGCGCTAGCTCAGCAAGGCCAGTGAGTGCGGCCAGGGGCCAGGGCATTGGGGAGTGGGTCTCGGGGGGGGGGGCATGTGGGGAGTAGGGTTGCCAGCCCTCCCGGATTGGCCTGGAGTCTCCAGAAATTAAAGCTTAATCTTGAATTAAAGATTATGTCATGTGATGAACTCTCCAGGAATACATCCAACCAAAATTGGCAACCCTAGTAGGGAGTGTGGGGCTGTGAGGGGCGAGGGCACTGGGCAGTGGGGGAGATTTGTATGTTTTGGGTGCAAAGCAGTGGGGGGGGGTCTGTTGGGTGGGTGCTGGGTGGTGGGAGAGGTCTGTGTGTGTTGGGGTGCTAGGGAGTGGGGGTTCTGTGTGGGGTGCTGGGCAGTTGTGATGGGGGAGTCTGTGGGGAGGCGCTGGGCATAACGGGTCCAGGGGATGCTGGTCATAGAGAATCGGGGGGTGCTGGGTTGGGGGGGCTGTGTGGCACAGCATGGGCCTATCCCCGAGGGGAAGGGGCATGCTGGCAGCACAGGGCCCGGTGGGCCAGTGTGCATCTGGCAACTGCTGGTTTGTAAACAGTGCTCTTGGATGGGGCTGGGCGGAGCAGGGCTGCTCCTGCCATGCTCCACTGCCTCTGGCCGCCCCCTCACTCCGGGGGCCGACATCCCCGTGCCATGCTCCATTGCCCCCACGGGGGGCCACAAATATGTTTGGCGCCGGGCCCACAAAAGGTTAACCCGGCCCTACTGAGAAGGTGCAGCAGCAGAGGTGGCAAGCATGGGACCGTGGCTTGGGGGAAGCCTTGAGCACTGCCCAAATTCGGTGACTACAAGGGCTGTGCTGATTACAAGCCAAGAGACCAAGGGCAGCACCCAATTTGCTAACATGTATGTGAGGAAGCACGCTCTAGTAGTTGAAACACAGGGCTGGGAGTCAGGATGCTTGGGTTCTAGTCACAGGGACTCACTGAGTGACTGATTGGTCAAGTCACTTAACTGCTTGGTGCCTTAGCTTCCCTATCTATAAAATGGGGATATGAATATTTACTCTCCTGCCTGGGGTGTTGGGAGGATTGAGTACTGTTTGTAGAGCGCATGGAGATCTTTGGATGGAAGAGCCTAAGGAAGAGCAGTTATCTGTTGTTATAGTATTGTCAGAATCAAACTGTGTCTTTGGGATTTTAATAACACACATTTGTCTTTATTTCAGTGCCGGATTCATCCTAACAAACATTTTAAAAGTGCAGTTCCCATCGTGCATTAGGCATGGTGGGGCTGCCATTGAACACAGTCATAGAGTTTCCATATACTGATGTTCCCTCTCTTCAGATCTGGTTACCTGGTTGGGTTCAGCGTCTGCTTCATCCCAGTTGTGCGTCAGGTGGCCTTGATCCATGGGTTTAAAGGGCTTGTGACAGACAGAGGGTAGAATTCTATACAGCCAGCTACAGAGAAAGAAAACACGAGTGAGACCAAGCCCAGGCTCTCCAAATAGCTGTTTCTGTGCTCTTGACAGCACCTATGAAATTTTCAATGAGATCAAGTGGACCTCTTGTGTGTTAATTCTCCAATCAATCCTCACAGTTATATAGATCCCAAAGTACTTTATGGGCCATAATTACACACAGACATATGAATATGGATAACCTTATCTCTCATGGAAATGCAGCCACATCTGGGGTTGAATTCAGAGGCTGTTTAACAGCACACAGCAACACTACACAACAGTTGAGAGCTGGCAGTGAAGAACGTAGTATTTAACTAAAGGTGTCTCTTCACTGCCCAGTTAGCGGGGATGACTGGCACCAGGGTTAGCCTAGCCTGGATGTGAGAAGCCACCCTGCAAAGCCCTACCCCTGTTACTGTGTCCTCACTGTTTCTCCTCTTGCTTGTGTGTGTCTGGGGGCATAGCCCATGGTTCTGCATACTGAGATGCTCTGGGATTGTCTATACCTCCTGGGGAACTGTGGGAAGGCACTGGAGGACTATCAACACTTGAGTAATTTAGCCTGTGTCCTGGGTTGTAGCCAGAGTGAAAGCAAAGCATGGGTTCTAATCCTCCCCAGTTGGGTCAGCTAGCTTGGTCTTTACAGTACCTAAAAACCCAGGTCAGAGAGTTTCTGTGTGGATGGGAGGGAGGTTGGCCTATAACCCAGGTAAGAGCTCGGGTTGACTGTGCAGTGAAGACATATCCTAAAACTACAGGGGAGTTATAGGCAGGCAGAAGGTAATTGCTAGAATTTGCATTTGGCCAGGTTACTGGAAGTAACATCGTACTCCTGCAAACAGTGCCATGGGATGGTTAGTGAGCACAGGTAGTCAGGGCCTAGGTTTCATGAAAGATGACACCCCCTAGCACCACACTGGGTTACCTATCACTAAGGCTATGATTTAGTCATGGAGGTCACGGAAGTGATGGATTCCGTGACCTCCGTGACTTCAGCCAGCCCCGGCTGGGAGCTGCAGGGTCCCCTGCTGCCACTAGTGGAAGGCGGACCACCTGCAGCTCCCGGCCACCGTGGGCAGTAGGAGGGACCCCCGCCACTAACTGTCCCTGCAGATGGCAGGGGGGCCCCCCGCCGCTCCCGGCTGCCTCTGGCAACGGAGTGATCTCTGTAGCTCCAGCCACCGCGGATGGCAGGGGGGACCCCCCAATGGGTGGCAGGGGGAACCCCCAGAACTCCCAGCCAACGCAGGTGGCAGGGGGGATCCCCAGAGCTCTCGGCCTCTGCGGGTGCCAGGGGGGACCACCGGGGCTCCCAGCTGCTGCGGGCAGCAGTGGGGACCCCTGCTGCTCCTCACCACCCTGGGGCCCCCCGCAGCTATCCGCCTCCGTGGGCAGCAGAAGGGACCCCCAGAACTCCCAGCCTCCGTGGTGGCAGGGGAAACCCCCGGAGTTCGGAGCCCCCAGTGGAGGGGGACCCTGGAGCTCCCAGCCCACCCGTAGCTGCCCAGGCTCCTCATTTTATCATGGATGTTTTTAGTAAAAGTCAGGGACAGGTCATGGCTTCCGTGAATTTTTCATTATTGTTCGTGACGTGTCCGTGACTTTTACTAAAAATATCCGTGACAAAATCTTAGCCTTACCATCACTTACTCTTTCATCAACAGCGGTTCCCAAATCCATGTGGGTTTTCTCCAGAGATCTCTATCCAAGCACTAGCCAGACATGTCCCTGCCTAGTCTATGAAACCTAATGAGATCCCAGCCCAAAGCTGCAGACTTTGCTAAACAGGATGTAACTGAATGACTTGATTTACTTTCCTTTGCAGCAGAAACAACTTGTGCTCCAGAAACTGTTTGTTTGGGTCACTGGCCTTGGGCAACACATCATTCGCCACCGTGTGGAGCAAAAACAGCCACACCTCATGTGGAATGCAGCACATCTGTAATCCACACACCTCCTGGGTGTGGTGTGTTCGGTCCCATCTAGTGGCACTGAGACCACTTAGGGTGTGGCTACACTGGAAATTTCAAAGCGCTGTCGCGAGAACGGTCCCTCCACGAGGGGATTAGCTCCCAGCGCTCGGAGCCTGCTTACACTGGCGCTTTAAAGCGCTCAGACTTGCTGTGCTCAGGGGGGTGATTTTTCACTCCCCTGAGCCGGCAAGTTAGAGTGCTATAAAATGTAAGTGAAGACAAGCCCTTAGAGAGAGTAAATGAGTCTGCTCTATAGCCTCAGCTAAGAAGCAGTTGGCTTTTAGCTCATGCAGTAGAGGCTCATGCACTGAGCTCCAGAGGTCCCAGGTTTGATCCTGCCTGCTAACGACCGGGGTCTGTCGGTGTTACACATCCACAACAGCCAAAGCAGGGCAGGTGCAACATGCTCTGTGATTCAGCTCAGCCCAGCATTCCTTGCCTTCCTGGTGAACATATTTAACTAGTGCTGCCACTTCCCCTTTAGAAACACAGTCTTGTCTGGGTAGCAATGAAAGGGTTAACACACACACCTGCTCCCCTGAGGAAACCGGGCTGTAGAGGGTAAATGCAGCATGGGAATTTCAGTGCAAACCTGTTTAACCAAACTCCAGGAATCCAAAGTGTAATTCTGTCTCCTGAGATTATTTTGCCTCTAATTTCTCTCTTCAAGCACAGCCCCTTTCAAGCTGGCCATCCTGAAAAACCACCTGGCCTGCTCTGTACTGTGCTATGGGGTCGGGAGCTCAGAGCATGCCCGTTCAACTAGAGAGGGGCTCAAGAGCCACATCTGAGTTTGCATTTTGAACACTGCAGAGGGAGTCAGGCCTGGGCTTTGAGTTCCAGCCTAGCCCCACTTTCTGCCACAGGCCTTCCTTCCTATGAAGCCCTGATATAACCCAAGGCCCTGAACCTTTGGATAAATGGATCTGCACTCTACTTCCTTTCTGTCCGCTATGCCAGTTCCTGAGCCTCTTTTCCTCTCTACACCTGGTGCCTGAGCTAGCATGCACACAGAAAGTGGGCTAAGCCAGGAGATGGGCTTTGAACCAGGCAGGTGGCCAGAGATAATCAGGAAGGCAACGAACAGGGATGCCACAGCCTCTCTGCCTTGTTAAGGTTGCTCACTGCAGTTTGGGGTGGGGGGGGAAGGAGCTCTTCCTTGGGAGATGGAAAATTTCCATCAAGGACATTTCCATGCAGAAACAATGAGTCATCCCCTTTCCCACGCACCCTGAGAGATGGCACCAGCCTGGAGAGCAGAGCACTGGTAGGCAGCTCAGATGATGCATCTGCCTTTCATTTGATTGAACAATGGAGGGGACAGAAAGCCTCTGCAGGAGCAGTGACATGATAAACCAATCTCTTGCAATCAGGCAATGGCCTGAACTTCAGGACTTTTTCTTCAAAACAGCAACTCTCTGTTTCCAGCATCTGATGAGAATTCTTTGTTGTAAATTGCATGCTGGTGCCAGTTTGACAGCCCACAGACTGATGCCTCTATTTATCCACAGATCAAATACAGCCCGGTGGAGGCAGTGGGAGCTTCCCCCACACCAGCCACTGCCAGTGGGCCTCAACCCTGACCCACAGGTACGTTCTCTAGGATGAGAGGAAAGTTCAAGTCCCATAGCCCATCTTCTGACACTGCCAACAAGGGGCCAATAAGGGCCAATTCTGAGGGTGTGTTTTTATGATGGCCACTAGCAACTGGGCTGAGACCCTCACCTCGTTTCCCAAAGCACTCAGATCCTCCTCTCAGAGAAACTATCCCTCCCTCTTCACCTACAGATCCCATTCCATGAGACCTTCTTCTTCCTCACCAGCTCATCCTCATCACCCTCATCTGAGACCTTTTGTCCCTTTCCCCTGATCCTACTGAAACCTTCCCTCTTCCCTTCACTATTTGATCTGCACCCCACCCCACTCCCAGCATGGCCTTCCCATCCCCCACAAAAGATCTACCTCCTACTTCACTCCACTGAGATTTTTCCTCTCCCTTCCAAACAGTTCCCCCCTCCCAGCATGCAGTAGAGTTGTTTACAAGCTCAGGAAATACTGAGTATGTACAGTCAGATCTCACCACCAGCCTTGCTGCCTGCATGCAGCAATAGATCATGGCTGTCCCAGGGCAGTGTCACGGTACCTTCTCTTATTGGTGGACCTGGGGCAGGTGAAGGCAGAGCCCGAGAGCTGTTCTGCATACAGACCATATGGGCAGACCTGAGGGTTATTCTAAACCAAAAGAGAAAATGATGGAAACCGGTTAAAAACAACTGCACAAGTATTAGCATTAGTCTCATCAGCACAAAGAAAATTCCCAATTCCTCTAGGTGGTCTGGAGCCTAGTCCACTCACTCAGAATGGTATGGACCTTGTCAATGGCCTCATCCTCTGCTCACTGATACCAGGATTAACCAGTGATGGTATTTGCATGGTGCCTCCATCTCTCATGAGGTTAGAGATACAGTGGGTATCAGCCAGCCTCTGAGATCAATTTCCCTATACACTGGAGCTTACACAGCACTCTAAGGAATCAAAGAAGAGGCTAGGGTATACACCAAGTTCTAGAACAACCACTAAGGAGCAACACTTATGGGGGCTGTCGAAGGAAAGGGGAATTATCAATAAAGCAACCAAAACATCGATCAGGTTATCAAGCACATTGTTTTATCGTCAAGATGTTTGGAGGGGCTGATCAGGATCCCAGAACTGGGATTTCCTGTCCCATGCTTTATGTTTACCTGGCTCTTGGTAAGAAAGTTGCATTGTCTGCAGAGTGCTGGTAAAGGCCCCTGGCCCATAGCCCTACAGGAGCTGCAGCAAATGTATGTAAGTATACAACCACTGCACAGAGAATGAATACTTCCCTCCATCACTGCCATGGTTCCCCTAACTATACTACCCCTCACCTAGGGAAAGGATCCGTACAGTGGACATTAAAAATGGGACAGTGCCTCCAGATGCTAATGGGGTTAGCTCCCCCTGGTGGCCTTTGTGGAATTCTTTGCATTTGTGCAGGGTTTCAGAACAATCAGCTCAGTGATTCAGCTGGGTGCAAACTCCCCCACTTCGCTCTGCCTTTCCCTTGGTTCTGGCTGCTGGAGTGAAACAATTGCTATGAGTTTATAGGTGAAATATTTGTTCTTCAAGGAAAGGGGCTAAAGGTTTTCATTTAATTAGACTGGCATTTCTTTGTTGTGAACTCAGTGCGAAACAAAGGCACCCAGATAAATGCCCTAGTGGAACAGACAAATAGTCCGTCTCATTTGGTATCTCCAGCTACCTGTTGTACCAGATCAGGCCTATAGTCCATCTGCAGTTAGCCTGGCATCCTGCCACCCTGCTGTACCAAAACAGACCAGTGGTCCATGCAGTCTCCCATTCTGCCCTAACAGCATCCAGTGCCAGGTGTGTGAGAGTAAAATGTAAAGCCTTCATACTGCACCTAGTTCTTCAATCCTTAAACCTCACCTTGTGAGTATGGTATGCTCTGAAGTGGGGGGATCAATAGCCCCCATAGTTTTTATCTTAGCTTGCATCACTGCAGATGCCTGCCTTATAAATACTGCAGAGGGACCTTTGGGACCTGGTATTTTTTACTCATTCTCAAATCTTGTATTAACTGTTTTGACACTGTGTATTGTCTGGGGCAACCAAACTTTGCCCAACTGAGGGGCTGCATAGGCAACCAGGAGTCTGAGGGCTGCATCTAATTTGCATAAACTGGTGCAGGTTGCAGTTGCCCTCATTTTGAGTAGAGCAACCCTTGGAGATTACAGGTCCCAGCATGTAATGAGCATGCCAAGCATCAGGATGGAGCACTGCATAGTGAGACCTATAGTTATGTAGGCTGCATTGTGGAGGTAGGTGGGCGTCTAGACTGAATTTAACCCATCCGTGACTTGTGTTTAACTGTCTACAGTATACACTCCCGGCAAAAAAACAATGGTATTAGAAGTCCTCAAAAGTCAGGAAATGCCAGAGTTGAGGTTCTCTACACAATCTTAACTCTTTCCTCATATGTGAACAGTTTATGCTTCAGGGCCTAATTCTCCACCTCTTTGCACCTTGTGCATTTACACCTTTACAGAGTGCAGAGCAGGGTGTAAAACGCTACCATCCTGCTGTGGGTGCGTTTTATGCCCACTCTGCCCAAGTATAACCACTTACACAACATGCAAGGTGGTGGAGAATCAGGCTTAGTGGATTTACTTTGGTGTAAATGAAACCAGATCTGAGCCCATAGTCTTTATTTCCCTGATGACTTGCTCTTATTTCTGTAAGTTGGATAGTGAGAGTAAGTGAGGCCTGCGGGCCTTTATTTAAAGAACAAGGGAAAATATTTTTTTTAAAAACTAATATATTTGGAAATAAATTATTCTATTTTATTCACTTTTAACATTTTTGTAATGAGCCTGTCGGCTCAGGACTAGCTAACTATTCCCTGCCCCCATCCCTAGAAAGGAGAAACTGCCCTATCATGGACTCATTGCTCAGACTAATCAAAATCAGTTTTGACTGGAACACTTCTCCTCTGTAGGGTTATTTCTCTCCCAATCCACATCAGACCTAGAGCTGAGAGAAAAAAGTCACATGATTTTTTTTTTTTATAATGAGGAAAATGTTAATTCCCCCCCCCCCCCCACCTTCCTTCTCAAACATAGTTGAACTATTTTTATTCCAACTTCCTCCCCCAAAAATCACTCTGGGACAGAGACCAGGCCTGGAAATTTCAGCCCCAAAGGTGAAAACTTTGGAAAGTTATGAATGATGAAAATAGGAATGTTGACTGGAAACCCTTAACTATAACCTATACTAATGCACAGTTCTAATGCTGCAAAAAGGAGGCTCCTTAACATTTCTGTAGTGGCAGGCTTGAGAGTCATGGTAGCATCTTGAGACTCAAAATAGCAGGGGAACAGGTGCTCACGCTACTCCTTGCTATTAAAAAAATAAATAAATCAGTACCTGTCCTTCTGGTAAGGCTCCAGGACAGCGTGGATCTTCAGAGACACATTCATTACCAAATCCTGGCATGTACTGTGAAATAACAACACAAACATACACTCACACATCAGTGTTTAAAAATAAACAGATGTGCTTTTTCCAAATTCTTTGGGTACAGTTTGACTTTGCCAAGTGATCTATTTCGGTTTGGTTATTTCAGAGGACTGACTTTGCAATATGTGAACAGGGGTTTATCTATCTTCATTAACCAACGATAATATTGGCAGACATAGCCAGGGTTCCTTTTCAATCTAATCTGTCTGCACCTATGAATGCACCCAGCACCGTATCATGACGGCACTTTCTAGATATGCAAGATAACAGCATGCCTGGGTTCAGGAATAGTAATACCCTTGAGTAGCCCCTTCCACACAAGGACATCAAAGCACTTCACTAACCTTATGGAGGAGTGCTGGCGCAGGAGTTCATGTTGAGACAAGGTTACTCAGTAAAAGGTGATTTTTCTAAGTGCCGTAACATCTGCTTGCATACCGATACTGTCTTATAAACTGGTGTGACTTACTGGGCTCCAGGACATGGTTAGTAATGCAAATCTGAAGTCATTTGGGTAATGGAGGGGTCTGACATTCAGTGCCCCCTTTAAAAGGACCTGTTAGTAATCTTATGTGTGCACATGCGCACACACACCTGGAGCTCAAATTATGTCACTGGTATGCACCAAACTGCTATTGTCTGACTGGGTTTGAGCTCAGTTAATGTCCAGCACCGGCTGCCATGTTAGACGAGCAATATTTTAAAAGTTGTATCTAGTTTTCTAAGCTGATGTGCACATGGGGGATCCACACTAGAGAAAGTGAGCTGCACATCCTCCTAGGCCTGCTCTGCCTGCATGGGCTCCAGAGCAGGGGGTGGAGTTCTCAGTCCTGGCTTCTCCTCAGGCATACACAGCTCCTGCCTGTTGCAAGGGCAGCAGGGAAGAGAGCTGGGCTTCTCACAGCCCCTCCTCCTACCTTGGCCCCCCAAACCTAACACTGGGCTAACCCCAGTTTCAAACCATGATAAACTGCACTGTTGCGAGTCACCATTCACACCAGTGCAGAATGTGTACTTTAGGGTTTGACTAGGATAGCAGGTGAATGATTGACAGGCACATGGGATGGGTTTAATCAGCAAGCTGCAAGTTTATTAATTATACCTTGGGGAGGGGGAGCTACTTTGCCTGCCCCAGCTCTCACATACCAGGCATTTAATTGGTTCAGGTGTGGATTACAGAGCTTTGGTCACAAACCAAACAATTCAGTTCAGCTGTGCAACCTCTTTCCCCTGCCCCACATAAGGGGGGTGGATTGACAGTGGCCACAAGGCTGGGGGGGGAAGCTCAGTCTGCAAAGAGTTCAGCCTCCTCCCCCACTGTGAGCACAAGGTCCATCTGCACAATCCTGGGTCTCATTTACCTCTGGGAACTGGCCCTTTTAGTTTTTACTGCCACTGGACACCAGCTACTGGGAGCATCAGCAATTAGCAGCAGCCCCCACCTGGCTACACATGTGTTTTGGACTCTCGCACTCCCTGTTGTCAAGTCACACTACCTCCCCCGCTAAAGGTGGTAAGGGAGTATTTGCACCAATATAGATACATCAGTGCAGCTACAACAGTGGCTGAACATCCACTGTAGACAAGGCCTCAGGTTTCTTGATATTGGGTCAAGCAGCTGATGTTTAGAGGCGGAAAGTTCCCTGTTGTTCCTCCTGCAAATGAATAAATCACTGGGACTCTGGTCTCCATGTGTTTCTGCAAGCAGTGCTGCAAGATGTATATTTATATGCAAAACAGCAGGTCACCAGAGGCAGTCCTGACAAATGTATTGTAATGGAGCTTCCCCTTCCCCCCCTCATTTCCCCCCCCCAAACAGAACTGCAGCAAGATTTGATGAGACTGCAGCAGAAACCAGCCCTACTCATTGCATTCACCTTTACCAAAGATGTAAACATGGTGGGGTAAGCATGTGTGTGGTGGGGCAGGGGGAATGCACCTTATTTTTCCAAGGCCAGGGCGGGCCCGGCCTGATGCAACATGTCATCTCCACAGTGAGGGGAGGGTTAATGCAAAAAGCCTGCTGCATATGGAAAAGACACCATGTGATCATGTGCAGACTATTATATGTGCCTGTGAAATGTTCTGAACTAAAACTGATGGAGGGTGGGATAGTTTGTGGGTCTCCGAGACATGATTAGCTTGTGTGTCTGCTAATCTAGCTAGAGAAATCCTCAGATGCATAATGTCCACAGTGCAGCAACGTATGGGAAAAGAGATGAGCTCATGGTTCAGCTCTCTGCTGTGTGAAATTGTTATTACAAGAGACTCCATCAGCTCCCTCAAATCTAAAAAGCTTTAAACCCTCTCAGCTGACCCAATCCATCAGCTGCACAGAATCCCAGCTGCACCCAAATTAGGATCCCCTAAAAAAAAAATCTATTCATTCCTGTTTGCTGTGAAATGAAATATCAAAAGCAGCTCATGACTGAATCTGCTCTGGGTCCACAATCTGCTGCACTGCATCTAACACAGCCGAGAGCATGAGGCTGACTTGAGAGCACTGGGATGCAGGCAGATTTCTGACAGACTGAGCCACTGCCTGTTCCCCTCATACTTTACACAGTCAGTGGGTAGCTGCAGAGGCATTAGTCATCCCCTATTAATACACAGAGCCCAGAGATTCAGGGGTGGGGGTTGCAGGTTTTATGGGATTCAGTCAAGTCAGGGAGGAGGAGTTGATGTTTAGAGACCTGTCATACAAGCACTGTCAGAGCCCTGCTCAAGCTTCCCCATCACAGCTGCAGTGTACTGGCAGGAGTGAAGGAAGCTGCTGCTGTGGCATTGTTTGTCAAATGAGTTTTCCAGATGCTACAGAAAAAAAGAATAAATCACAGGTAACTGCACTGAGGGCCTCCAAAAGAAAACTGCTTCTTATTGGCGTGGCTGTAGCTGTGGGCAAGGAGACATTGTCCTGCCATTAATTTAGTACTGACTTGCTTTCAAGGACTTGTATTTTATTTAGTTGTACTTTGCCTTTTGCTATAGCAAATTCCAAAAGACTCACCTCAACTTGCTCCCTTAGAGATCAATCTATAACTCTGCAGCATTTTCCTCTGGCTACACAAAGATGAATGTGTAACCCCAGAGTCCTTTAAACTAAGACAGGTTTCAGAGTAGCAGCCGTGTTAGTCTGTATCCGCAAAAAGAACAGGAGTACTTGTGGCACCTTAGAGACTAACAAATTTATTAGAGCATAAGCTTTCGTGGGCTACAACCCATCCGAAGAAATGGGTTGTAGCCCACGAAAGCTTATGCTCTAATAAATTTGTTAGTCTCTAAGGTGCCACAAGTATTCCTGTTCTTTAAACTAAGACAGTTATTTGAATGTTACTTTAGAGCACATTTCTCAAACTGGCAAAAATAATAAAAACATGTTGAAGAGGGTTGGGTGCAGATGGCTCTGGCGATATGAGCTCTATCACTGGTTTGAATCCAATCCATACCGATAGTGACAACAATAATTGTCACCATGGGACTGTAGTTTGGTGCATGTTTAATTAGTTTGGTGAATCTAAGGGTATGTCTACACTACAGGATTAATCCGAATTTATATAATTCGAATTTTGGAAACAGATTGTATAAAGTCGAAT